ACAAGCAGTACTTCAATAATATTTATCTTGTAATTAATATTTTTGTATATAACTAGTAAAAAATAAGTATACTTCAAAAAGAATACCTGGGCAGGAGCGGTTTTTGCATGGAGCGTTGAGTGAAAGAGTATAGAACAAATGTGTGTCTATTTCCATTGGCACATCAACTGGATGCTCCTCATCAGCTAAACTCCGAAGACTAGCAGTAAAATTAAGGCCTGCTGCTGTGTCACTATGGCTAGGAAGATCGGGGAGCACCGGCGGCGACGATGGAGTGTAGTTTCCATTATATTCTACAATAGCTGTGGTGGTGGAGTTGTTGTAAGCACCTGTCCCACCAATGGAGTACACGCTGGCGGCCATGTAATAGTGATCGGGACTTTGGTTGGCTTCTAGAAGGACATCAACGGTCTGACCTGTGGTTATGAATACGAAGCTTCTCTCGAATGGTTTTAGATAGCTACCGTCAGATCCAACTACCGTGACAGTATGGTTGGCAACGGAGAAGAAGAGGCTATCCAGCAAGACGGAGTTGACTATCCGAAGGAGATAAGTCATACCGCTATTCAACTCGAGTTTAAAAGTTTCTGTAAATATATTAAAAAAAAGAAGTATCAAGTAATAACCTAGTCACTACTTAAAGATTTATTTTTACAGTTAAATTGTAAAAAAGAAAACTCAATAAAAATTGAATTAAAGATGAAAAATTAAAAGTAATAGATTTTAATTGCTAAATAGGAAAATATTATGAGATGTGTTGAATTGAAATGCGTACTAATTATTTTAATAGCAATTTTCACGCATCTATTGTTTTTCCTGTTTTCTTTTTACCATTCTTCACAATGCATTATTGGTAATAATGTTTTCAACCATTAGTTCCAATAGTTTCTGATATTAATCACTTTTTTTTTTTTTTGGTATTATATTACATCCATTTATTAATATATTAGCATCAATAATTATTTTATTTTGAAAACATTGATGTCTTACTAAAAAGTAAAGAGTCTCACCACGTTTGGAGCAAGGATAAAGATCACCAGGCTGGCCATTGATGAGGAAGGCCTCCGAATTGATTTGGATGGCATCACCGTCACGTTCAAGATTTAGGTATAACTCCATTATATCTTCTTCCCACCAGTCTCCTGCATTTTCAACAATCCAAAACATTCCAAATATGAAATTATTTTGAATTTATATTATTTTTTTAATTACCTAATATGATGGGGAAAAAGAGCTTTATGGGAGAAAGCACAAACACTTGATACAGGAAAATAGAGGTAACTGGTGCATGGTAGGTGACTTGAACGCTGTTTTAGTAACACATGAGAGCAAAGGTGGTGGAGGGAGTGTTAGGGAGATGCGGGAATTCAATGAATTCATGGAGGGGGTCTGGTTTGCTTGATCTCCCTTTAATTGGAACTTTGGAAGGAAATTTACTTGGTATCGTCCAAATGGGTCATCAATGAGCAGATTAGATTGGTTCCTGGTCTCTGAAGAATGGTTGTTAAACTGGAAGGAATGTAAACAATAGGGGTTGAAATGCACAATTTTAGATCACTGCCCTATTTTACTAAAGAACCAGATAAGGGATTGGGGTTCGAAGCCACTTAGAGTTTTTGATGCTTGGCTTAAGCAACCAGGTTTTAAGCGGATGGTGGAGGAGACGTTGAATTCATTAAGGATCAGCGGATGGAGAAGCTTCCAACTAAGAGAAAAGATGAAAGCGTTGAAAAAGGCAATGAAAGAATGGAGCAGAGGCTTTGTCCATGGAGTGGAAGACCAAATTAAGAAGGCTGAGAAGATTATAGATCAGTTGGATATTAAAGTTGAGACTCAACAGCTAACAGAAGAAGAAGTGCAAGGTAGGAGAAATCAGACAATTAAGTTATGGAAGAACTTAAGAATTATGGAGAGGATGCACCAACAGAAGGCAAGGAAGACTTAGCTAAAGGAAAGGGATGCAAACACAGGATTTTTCCACAGATGTTTGTAGAATAGATGGAGAAGGAATGAGATTAATACTTTGCTCTGAAGTTGAAGAGATCAGGGAAGGTATCGCCACTTTCTATGAAAACCATTTTAAGGATGATGGTTGGCCAAGATCAAAGCTAGAAGGAATTGAGTTTAAGCAATAAACAAGGGCACAAAATGAATCACTCATGGCACCTTTTGAAGAATCAGAAATTAAAGAGGAAGTCAGGGCATGTGATAGGTCTAAAGCCCCTAGACGTGATGGCCTAAATTTGTATTTTTGTTGTTCAAAAAGAAAAAAATTACCTAATATGATAGGAATTTCTGCATCGGGTTTCGGAAAAGGATAGCTTGTTCCGATCTTGGGATAAACAATCAGAGCACCATGGACAGTTGCTCGCAACCATGTGCTATGAGCATGCCACCACAAAGTTCCTTCTTCGGTTGTAAAAATGATCTTCTGCCTAAATTTTGCTCCCGGTTGAATAGCACACTGAGTGATGTATTCTGGACCATCAGACCATGGATTTCTTGTTTGCAACACTCCATGCCTGTCAAAATATGCTACCAATTAATATCATGAGTAACATTAATCTAACCTCCTTTCATTTTACAATATTTAAGTAGTGATGAAATGGTTTGCGACAATTAATACCAATGAATGGTTATGTTAAATTTTCCTCTGTTGTAAACATCTACAACGATGGTGTCTCCTTTATGAGCATATAATGTAGGGCCCGGAAATTGGCCATTTACGGTGAGTATGTTCTTCGTGTTGCATACTCTCGTATATGGAACTTCCTTCACCTACGGAAACAACTTACCATTAATAAAATTGCATGTTGTTGTTTTCTATTCAAAAAAATGGGAATATGTACTTAC